AGCAATAAGCTTGAAATGGCAAGAAGAAGAAGAAGAAGAAGTATTAATGTTACGCTTATGCAGAGTGAATATTTCATTTTCTGGAGTATTTGTAGATGCATTCAGTGAAATCTTTTGATTTTGTAGTTTTAAATATGCAAAAGACCACCCTAATGAAAAATAAGTGTACATCACGTATTAAGGACTGCATCAAAATAAGTTTTAAACATATTTTTCTTCAAAAATCAATAAAAAAATATTTTAAAATTAAGAAACGTTCTTTAACTATGCCTGCAAAGTCCTTCTTAAGTAATGAACTTCACAAAAACAAATTAAAATCTATTCTCTTAGATGATCTCTCTGTCGTCTTATACTTTTTGGACAGTGTGACAAAACAGGTTTTAAGCACTTTTTGTACAATATTTTTAGGACTTGTTACATGATCTTAGTAGCTTTAGCATTCATGGAAAAGGTTGTGAATAAAACACAACAATTTTCAATTGTTTTGACCTAATTTGCAGTCAATTCTGTACTTTATTTGATAAATGGGTAAATTGAAAAATTGTGATGTTCGCCTAGAGCGACCCAATTCAGCTTGTTCGCAACTACAACCTTTGGAATGCCTGAATTGCTGATGCTAAATGGCAATTGTAAAGTGCATCTTTAAAAGGATATTAAAAGTTCTAAAACATTGAAATAGTCAAAATATATGCGTTAAAGAAACACGGAAATGCATTGTCCACTACATCTAACATGATACCAGTCCTTTAAAGGATATATTTTGCTTCACTTTACTCTGCTAAGTTATGAGGACGGATATGACACACATAATAGATTAACCTTTTTTTTTATTAAATCATATCTTTTAACCGATTTGGAAGGAAAATTCAGTTTAGAACTTATTTTCGATACAGTCCTTAGACACTAGTGAAAAACGTCGATTTTTAACAAAAGTTTTAGATACCACCAGATCTCAACGTTTCTCGACGCATTTTTGAGTCATTTGGCAACTAAGTCATGTACAACATCCCCTAAATATTAGGTTATTTTTCGGTTTTCAAATAACTCAAACTTTAACGACTTTGCGCCACTCCTAAATATTTAGGTTTAGGGACAAAAGAGCGACAGAAAGAATGTCGAAAGACAGAAGGTCGAAAGACAGAATGTCGAAAGACAGAAGGTTGAAAGACAGAAGGTTGAAAGATAAAAGGTCGAAAGAAAGAAGATCGAAAGACAGAAGGTTGAAAGACAGAAAGTTGAAAGACAGAAGTTCGAAAGACAGAAGGTCGAAATATAGAAGGTCGAAAGACAGAAGGTCGAAAGATAGAAGGTTGAATGACAGAAGGTCAAAAGACAGAAGGTCGAAAGACAGAAGGTCGAAAGACAGAAGGTCGAAAGACAGAAGGTCGAAAGATAGAAGGTCGAAAGACAGAAGGTCGAAAGACAGAAGGTCGAAAGACAGAAGGTCGAAAGACAGAAGGTCGAAAGACAGAAGGTCGAAAGACAGAAGGTCGAAAGACAGAAGGTTCAAAGACAGAAGGTCGAAATACAGAAGGACGAAAGACAGGAGGTCGAAAGACCAAAAATTGAAAGACAGAAATTCGAAAGACAGAAGGTCGAAAGATAGAAGGTCAAAAGACAGAAGGTCGAAATACAGAAGGTCGAAAGACAGAAAGTCAACAGATAGAAGGTCGAACGACAGAAGATCAAAAAATAAAAAGTCGAAAGACAGAAGATCGAAAGAAAGAAGGTCGAAAGACAGAAGGTCGAAAGACTGAAGGTCGAAAGACAGAAGGTCGAAAGACAGAAGGTCGAAAGACAGAAGGTCGAAAGACAGAAGGTCAAAAGACAGAAGGTCAAAAGACAGAAGGTCAAAAGACAGAAGGTCGAAAGACAGGTTTACAGATAGAAGGTCGAAAGACAGAAGGTCGAAAGACAGAAGGTCGAAAGACAGAAGGTCGAAAGACAGAAGGTCGAAAGACAGAAGGTCGAAAGACAGAAGGTCGAAAGACAGAAGGTCGAAAGACAGAAGGTCGAAAGACAGAAGGTCGAAAGACAGAAGGTCGAAAGACAGAAGGTCGAAAGACAGAAGGTCGAAAGACAGAAGGTCGAAAGACAGAAGGTCGAAAGACAGAAGGTCGAAATACAGAAGGTCAAAATACAGAAGGTCAAAAGACAGAAGGCAGAAAAACAGAAGGTCGGAAAACAGAAGGTTGAAAGACAGAAGGTCGAAAAACAGAAGGACGAAAGACAAAAGATAGAAAGACAGAAGGTCGAAAGACAAAAGGTTGAAAGACAGATGGTCTAAAGACAGAAGGTCGAAAGACAGAAGGTCTAAAGACAGAAGGTTGAAAGACAGAAGATCAAAAGACAGAAGGTCGAAAGACAGAAGGTCGAAAGACAGAAGCTCGAAAGACAGAAGCTCGAAAGACAGAAGCTCGAAAGACAGAAGGTCGAAATACAAAAGGTTGAAAGACAGAAGGTCGAAAGACAGAAGGTCGAAAGACAGAAGGTCGAAAGACAGAAGGTCGAAAGACAGAAGGTCGAAAGACAGAAGGTCAAAAGACAGAAGGTCGAAAGACAGAAGGTCGAAAGACAGAAGGTCGAAACACAGAAGGTCGAAAGAAAGAAGGTTGAAAGACAGAAGGTCGAAAGACAGAAGCTCGAAAGACAGAAGGTCGAAATACAAAAGGTTAAAAGACAGAAGGTCGAAAGACAGAAGGTCGAAAGACAGAAGGTCGAAAGACAGAAGGTCGAAAGACAGAAGGTCGAAAGACAGAAGGTCGAAAGACAGAAGGTTGAAAGACAGAAGTTCGAGAGACAGAAGGTCGAAATGTAAAATGGTCGAAAGGGTAAAAAAGTGGAATGAAAAAATGGTCGAAAGGACAAATGATCGGAAGTCCAACAGCTGATTTAAATATTATGAAACTAATTTGTCATTACTTTAAACAAATTCTCAATAGTAAAATATGATTTTATTCTATTATTCTCTTCTTTGAAAGCTGTTCGTTCTTTCAAATTTGGTTTTCATTGATTAATCTGTAATTTCGAATGATATTAAAAAAATTATATCTATTCAATATACCCTTCTTAGAAAGGTTTATGATGAGAATTATTTGAGATACTGTGATTGAAATTTTCATTTAAGACTTTGAGTATTAAAAATGTACACTTCGAACATTGGAAATTTTCGAAGAACTAAGATTAGATATTAGTATCTCATATTTTTCAGAGGTTTTTCCTTTACGTGAGCAATGCTTTAATGTATTAAATATTTTAAAACTCACTCTCTTTTACTTTACACTCATTTAACGAAAAAAATCGACCTTTTGTCTTTTAACCTTTTGTCTTACGAAGTTTTGTCATGCATTCGGTCGGTTTGGGACATTCGTGGGTCGCTTTTTCCCATACATTCATTGGCACTCTAGTAAATAGTCATTACATACGATCTTATATTTTGTAATGGCACTTTTGAATTAAAGTATAATTCATTAGTTCACGGTGAAATCAAAGATATTTGAGCTGTTCTGGTTGATAGGACGGAAATAGGCGCTTAGGCCGAAGTAACTCCTGCTCAATATTCAGTAAGGCAATCTGACACGTCTTCCTTTGCCATACACTCTAACACTATAGTACCCATTAATGAGTACAATTTCACCCATTTTTAAGTAAAGTAGGTTAACCCATTAAATGGGTGAAAAAAATACCCATTAATGAGTAACGTTTACCCACTAATGGGTAACAATTACTCATTTATGGGTATTAGTTACCCAATAAAGGGTAATTTTTACCCATTAAATGGGATAACCTCCTTTAATTCAAAATGGGTGAAATTGTACCCATTAATGAGTACTTTCCAGTTATAGTGTAGAACAACTCATGTTACACAACTTGTCATTAAATGTACACTTATCTAAATCATATTGATAGCTTCAAAACTCCTATCCAGCTTTCCATGCTCGGTAATGGCGGCCTGTTTGTTTGACACTAACTGGAGGGCGTATGTTGTTCCATTATCTTCTGTTCCTGGGAGAGGGAAAGGGAAGGGGTTGAAATTCGAACATCCAGATAGTGTCAAAAAGCACAGTGAAGGATACATTTATTCATACAAACAGGCCGCCATTACCGAGCATGGAAAGCTGGATACCGTCTTTCCCATTTCATTAACATCGTTTCTTGTTGTCCATATCAAGTTATAGGGCAGAGCGCTACTTCGTCGTAATCGTCTATTTCCGTTCTATCGAGCAGAAAACATCAGTATTATCAATGATTTTACCGTGCACAAATCAGTAATACGTTTGTACCGTTGCGTTAGTTCACAAGCTACAACACCAAGCCTATTACAGCTTATTGTGTGAATATTTACACTCATTGTTCTCAAAACAAAAGAAGCACTGCTAGCGAGCTCGTTTTATTCTCCTTTCATCCGTAGGACGAAGAAAATCCAATGGCGTTTCAATACGTTTGGATGGAATTGAAACTCGTAGGACGAATTTGGAATCAAGAAGCACTGTTCGATTTTTAACAATATACCTATCAACAATGTTGTGGTTCTTTATAAAATTCAACGGTAATTGTGGAAAGAGTAATAAATTTAGAAGTCATCTTTGATAGAAGCATGTCATTTATTGTTAAAACTTGTTCAAGAAAGAGAGGTAAAGCGTGAGTTGTGCTTAGTAGGACGTAAATTAGATCAAAAACCCTACTGCCATCAACGAAAACCTCTAATGGTGGTAAGCTCCACCCGATATTATCCTCGGATTAAATCCCAATCACAAATGTCCGGCTGCTTGGATTTCGACATAAGAGTTAATCAACACGCTGCTAAGTAAACATTTTGCAGATCATCCAAACAGCGACGGTATTAAAAGTGAATCCGAGTTGGAGCTTACCGCCAAAAAGAACAATGAATAAAGCACTCGTAAAACCAGTCACCAGTCGCTGGTGAAGTGCATCCTGCAGGGGAATCACAATAAAAGCGTTCAAAATAAATTGCCAATTCTCTTTTACACTATGGAAACTGCGGCAATCACGTTTTTTTTTTATTTACTGCTCATGTTAGTACATAGCTGGATTATCCGCTAATATTAAAACTTAAATCTAATAATAGGAATTATAGAAACATGTCACGATCTTTAAGCCACTGCACTGTATTTATAACAGTCAGTGAGTAATCAATAGAACTTCAACTTCTCACAAGGCCCACACCCTTACGTAATCCACCTGCATGGATGCTTCCTTGGACTCATTCTCGTCCAAGTTCCACGTGGGCAGCCAATCGTTTCTGGCATTCCAGAAATCGGTCATCGGATGAGGCGAATCGTTCCTCCACGGTTTCTTCGTCGGATTGATATCGTCATCGGAAAAGTACTCATTTCCACCAACGGCCAGCGAAATTCTAAAGTAAAACTCCTGATCAAACGGTGCCATTATGCTTCCATACCGCCACGGATTATCCATCCCCGGCGACGTGATATTGTAATTGCCACGGGCCCAGAATCCCGTTCCCACGTTGACCGTTCCTGTTTCGATGTCATTGATGCTGAACGTAATGTGATCCGGTGTCCATTCCATCTGATACCGATTGAATCCAGTGTGGTACCCCTTCCCGGATTCGGCGTTCCTCGTAAAAGTTGATCCCGATCCAGCATTGTACCCCTGGTTGGGGCCAAACTGAAGCTTCGAAGTAACCTGCTCAATTCCGACATTGATCCCATTCTTAATCAAATCACGATTCCCTTTCGATTCGAGCAAATCGATTTCACCGGAAGCGGGCCAAACGCCGTAGGAATTGTACTTGGGAAGGAACGCAACCGCTGGCCACATCCAATCCCCTGCGGGAAGCTTTGCGCTGATTTCCACCTTTCCATACTTGAACGCAAACGTATCCACCGTACGCAGGCTGGCACTTTTCACCGGATTCAGAATGTGAACATGCGATCCGACGCGCTCGCAACCGAAGGTGCTCTGCTTGGTGCAGCTGTGGAAAAAAGAATGAACTCAAATCACTGGATCTGATCAAGATTGACAACAATATTGAGCTCACTAATCAGCAGCTGATCCACCATGAATGTTCAGATCTCCCGATCGGAGGAACGCTTCCCCATACTCGTCGACTGTCAACGTCGGTCGGATGAACAGGTTTCCTTCCTTCACGAATGAATTGGACCGGTTGTTGGTGAACCACTGGAAGTCCCAATTCTAGAACGAGTAATCAAATTTCATTCTGGGAGGTTTTTGAAATGGAATCAACGTACAGTATTTCCAGCCAACGTATTCTCATGCTGCCAAGTGTCCAGATCGAAACTGTCGAATGTGTCTTCGAAGATCAGGTCTCCCGGGCAGTAAGGTCCTGATGGGTATTGGATAGAATTTTCCGTTAGTATTGTAATTTTAAATATTTGAATTAGGCAAATTGTGTTGAAAAATATTGTGCTATAAGGTACTAGGTTCAATATTCCTGATCAAAAAGACTTCAAACCTCCGGCTATTCCGTAGGATTGCGATACAGCCATTCAGGTTTCAGGCCCTGCTCAGTGTTGGGCCATGTGCCTATCCCAACTATCGTTTTCAGTATATGTAAACGCTTTATCAATTTCGATTTTACAGCCTCAAGCTGCATTGAAAAACTATACGATATACGGCAACTTTTACACAACCTTTACACAAGCAAATCTGGCGAACACAGGCAGCTAATTTTGGTCACATTAGACACTTCTCAATCCCATATTCGTTAACACTTCTATTCAGAAATGCTCTTATTCAACCTTTTCCCAGCTACTAAATGATCACTATACAGCTTTGTCGCAAAGTAGAGATAAATATCGTGTGTGTAGAACACATTAAAAGAATTATCGAATTTATATTATTCTGAACATTGGCCGCATTTAATTAAGCACCTAACTATATTATTTCTTGCACCGGTACCTGGACTCGAATTTGTGATGGAAATCTTGGACGCTACCAACTTTGTGACACCAACACTTAAAACTGATCTAGAAATATCTACATGTTGTTCTGCAACGAGACCGCTGAGCAGAGGCTTTATAATAGTACGTGTGCAACACTTTCTTGACCGTTATATTTATAAGATTTATGGAAGACGCAGTTTAAAAGTTATAGAACTGCTGCAAAAGTACACATCATAAAACCAAACCGCTTCGGATAAATAATTGCTTCCAAAAATCGATTAGGGTAAACGCTCCTATAGTTGCGGTACGTTAGAAGCGTTAGGATCCTATAGTTGTGTATTGAGTCTCCATGCACAACTATAGGAACCTAACGCTTCTAACGTATCGCAACTATAGGAGCATTTCCCCTATATGGCTGAGTAAATGCGCTTTCGATGTTTATGTTATTGGTTGTGTAGATGCCATGAGATGAGTAATATAAACTTTTTATCAGCTTTGAATTGCAGCTTGTATGTTGAGAAAAATGTGGTAAACAGTGTACGCGTTTAGCAGCTACTGTTACTTAATTTTACTGACAAGCTGAATAATACCCTAGCAGCACACTTGTCATTTAACTGTTGTGGTTACTTGTATGCACCTTATTTCAGTCACAATCAAGTTGCAGCAACCTATTTTGATGGATGTGTGTTGCTTGGGTAGTTACTCATACTATTTTGACAGCTTTTGCCAGTTAGGTGAATTCACAGCTTTTATGCAGCTGCTTTACAGCATGAAACTTCAAAAAGTAAGCTTACTTAGCTGAAAATGTTTGTTGCGATGTCACGATGTTTTTAATACGATGAGTCAATTTTTAAGATATACAAACTTTGAAAACCAGCTTTCATTATAGAATATCAATATCATAAAATCATTAAAAAAAAATCAAAAAAATGCAAAGATGTATTTCACTTGAAGAAATGAACAGTAGTGACCGGTTTTGCTTAATGAGAAGATGATTAAGGGTTCAATACCAGCGTCCATCTTTTTTTAAAAATCTGAGCATCTAATTTGTTTGTAATGGTGAATGGAGCAAATTACTACTGATTGATAGTCGGCACGGTACGAAAACGTTATATTCTCGGTAAAACATGCTCTTCCGAGAACGTCATTCCATTTCGTCGGTCTTGAACGATTTTTTTTTCCTTGATTTGTTTCCCGTCGAACATGTTTTCCCTCAGATGGGAAAACATACCGATTCCAGGGATGCAGCTTCCATACCTGGACCCTACCCATCAACCCATCAACTCATGGACAGGGGACCAACGGCTTCCCTTCCAAAGGAAGGCGTGACCAGAGATTTTATACATCAGAAAATCCCGACGGCACCAACTCGGATTAAATCCAGGCCCTTTGGGGTTAGAGGCAATCACGCTAACCATTATACCTTTCCTAAAACTTTGTCTCAGATGTCATTTCGATTAGATGATCCGTTTTTGCGCTAGGCAGAAAGTTTGCGAAACTTATGGATGTGATTTTTTAAAAGCTGATTAACTTTCCTTTAAAACAGTGTCAAAATTATTGATACGATTTTGGTCGATTTTTGTTTGTTTTTTTATTGAACTACTCACTACTGATAAAACAATACCAAATGCCCCGTAACGTGGGTAGATCACCTTTTCGTGGTACGTTACGGGATGTAAGATCTACCACCGATTCCTAGTCCTGACTTCTTCAAACTAGGGGAACAGGATTTTTCAGTAATCAAAGGAACACATCTTAGTCCTTGTTACTTTTTATGCCTTGTTGATAGTGATAAGTCCTCGGGTTGCCTGGACCGAGGATGATCTTGAAACAAGGAAAAAATGAGTTAGTTAGGCTTCACCTATGTGATTAATAATCTTCTAATCGTTGTTCCCTAGTTTGAAGTGGTTAAGACTAGGGTTCTGATGCATGGTCATTATCGGTGTCATAGCTTGTTTTTGTTGTAAAGGAATCCAATTTTGACTGACAAAGGGGCGCGCCTTTGGAGGGTGTTCCAACTCCGAAGGGTATAAATAGCGGAACCTTTCAGTTAGAATCGATTCCTTGCGATGAAGGCAAGAATGACAACTGTATCAAAAGTGAATACTTCATCATTTCTCAATAGTGATGGAGTAATACGACATGCACTAAACTAAGGACACGGGATATACTACAATAGATCAAATTACTGGTCGCAGTGGTGTTATGTCCCGAACAGAGGAAAAAAAAAAAATACCAATTGAATTCAATGTTTAATACCTATAGGAAATACGTTCATAAGTGTCGTCTGGTTACTCCTGCTTTCCATGTCACGCGAAGCGGCTGTACAACTCCCTTTGCTAGCAGGATGGTTGCCAGTGATTTCTCGAAGAACCTATGTCCAAAAATACCATATTGTCTATTTGTTAGGATATCCGGCTTTCACCCGGAAAGCCTGGGTTTGATTCCCGGTATGGAAACCAAAAAGTTGTAGTTATGCTATATGCGAGGGGGGCGACACATGTAAATCTCAAGTTTAGATGCTCAACAAATCTCATACTAGCGAACCAATCTTCGAAAAATCTTCTTTCATTTGTCGCATCTACTTGCATCGCGCATCATCGTTTTGCAGGAAATCTTCAGAATCGTCAGAAACTCAATTTTCGATGCAACGCCGTGCCTCAATCCAACTCAAACCTCAACGTCCTTACCATCCAGCGCCAACAGTCAATGACCCTCTACAACGGGAACTACGCCGTAGACACCATAACATTTTTGGACGGAGGTTCATCAAACACGTTGATCGAGAAGTCACTGGCAACCAGTGCTGATAAAAATCATTCCTTCTACACTCAAGTTAGCTGAAAATCAGGGGGCTGGCAACCCTATATCAATCCTATACGTTTGACAGTAGGCAACATCACGGGCCTTATTTAAATACGGCCCGCCTGACGTATACATGCTGGAAAGGGACGGGAAATCGTGTTATAAGCAGAAAGACAAGAGCTGATTATAGCATCAAAAACATGGCCGCCAGCCAGGCCCCTGCTGAAAATAAAGAGAACCTTAAAGGTGTATTCAGATCTGAGCGATATTTCACGCGCGGAGAAAGATTTTGCGAAGGTAAGAGAGGGAGAAAAGTACTAGTTGTCTCTCTCATTCCAACGCAAATTTTGCTCCGCTCCGCTAATGTACGCTCAGATCTGAATACACCTTAACAGATAGACCTGCATGAATCTGAATTTTGACATAACAACATTCTTTTGATCAAGGCAACCTCTAAGGCTGTGAACCATTTGCCGAGTTAAATTTAACTCATGGTTAAAACTGACATTTCGAAAGTTATTTTCTATGTTCGAAAATCCCTGTGCTGTCGATCGACCGGTTTTCGAGAAGAACTCAGCCACAGTTGTCAAAATTTAACTTCTTGTCTGTCAGAAGTAACCACGCTCGGATAGCAGGGTTAATCGATAACTTTCCATCTGTCAAATTATAACCAAAAGTTAAAATAATCCACCAATTGGTTCAGAGCCTAAAGTCCGGCTCACAATAGATACGTTTTCGGGTTTTTTGACAGATAATGCATGGGCTAACTGTCAAAAAACCCGAAAACGTATCTATTGTGCGCCGGCCTTAAGTATCGTAGTTAACATTTCCCTTTGAAAAAGTTATCGAAATTTGTTTTTCTTCATTCGTGGTTGGATGTTCTTTATCGCCTCCGTTGTTGTCAATATTAATATTTGTCTTCATCTTGGTGGGGAGGATTTGAGGATCAAATGCAAAATGATTATATTCCTTTTAATCAAATATAGCGCTGAAGAACGTGTCGTGTTAGTTTATACACACAAACCGATGGTAAATTGTTGCCTCAAGCGGAACTGATGATAAAACCCCGGTTTTAGGCTCTGGAGTCGACAATATTCAAAATAATCATTTTACCCTAAATAAATTTGATTATTTTGCTTTTGAGGATCATTTCTAATTTTGAATATTTGGGGTTGGATAATCAAGCACTGGAGAATATCAACAAACGCATATTCGTTGATGTATAATGAACTCATTTGTTCATTTCGCTCGTACGTAGCAGCGAAGATTTTCAAAACAAACACAATTCATCTACACTGCGTTGAAGCAATACTCGCTGCGTGTGATGGTAAATGATAAAAACAGACACTGCTGGCAACCATCCTGCAAGCAAAGAGAGTTGTACAGCCGCTGCGCGTGACATGAACAGCATCCGGTATCCGATTTCCACCGAGGAGTTCCTGAAATTCTCATCGGCTTGAAAGACATCCACCTGTACGCTCCCATCGAATCTAGGATCGGTAGACCGGATGAACAAATCGCCGTCAAGTCGAAACTCGGTTGGACAATCTGCGGAGCTACCCACGCAAGCCATCCTGAAACAGCGATAGTCGGACACCACAGCTGTGACATCGTTTCCAACGAAGATTTGCACGACCTGTTACGGAGTCACTATGCCCTGGACGAGTCCATGATATCCGTAGCGCTACTTTCCAAATCCAGTGACGACAACCGAGATCCTCTGAACAGCACGACATTGAGGATCGGAAACCGGTTCGAAACAAATCTTTTGTGGAGCGAAGACGACCCACGACTCCCCGACAATTATCCGAAGATAGTAACCTGTATGATAAGGTAAGGGAGTTAAATCCAGATTATACGAAGAAGGGGTATATCCATTGAGGTAACTCTAAGACCACTGGGTCCCGAAGAAAATCATTATTATTTTTGGCTCACTCAGTACCAGAACAACGGTCCCAAGCAGTCCCAAGCTATTTCACTCACCCCTGCATGTTCTGCATGAATCCACACACCCCTGATGTTATCTGTCAAACTTTCATAGCGAATCAAAACAAACATAGTGTAGTAATAGAATTTCAACTAGAATAGGGTACGTTAATCGTTTGCTTGGGACCAATAGGCTACTAAAGTGGTGAGCCAATTTAAAATCGTTAGTTTCGTATTGATTGTTGGTATATCCATGTAGCTTCGAAGTCTGAGTTAGCTGAGTTCTAATCGGATGAGGTGTGGTATCTGCCACTGAGTGTATTAGTGCATCCGAAGAAGCCATGGAAAGACCGATTAGTATGGGACGCTGCGGCTGCAGTAAATGAGGTGTCGCTGAACTCGAAGTTGCTTAAGAGTCCGGACATGCTAACTCCACTCCAGCTAATCAAACTTCCGTGAGCGATAAGTGGATTTCGGAGTGACTTTAGGGAGATGTACCTTCAAATGATGGTTCGTAAAGCCGACAAGCGTGCACGATTCGTCTTCCGAGAAAGTTCAGCAGAGGAATTCTAGATCTACATCATAGACGTGACGATGTTTGGTGCGACGAGCTCACCAATTCCCGGAAGCGGCGAAAGCGATCGTGGAGAACCATTACGTCGATGATTATTTCGACAGCATGGATACTGTAGATAAAGCGGTTAAGCGAGCCCAGGAGGTGAACCCTAATAAAAATTTTATGGTTTATTTGCTTAACGACGTGTTCAGGGTATCATCCAAACCATTTGTGGAATAGTTCAATCATTTTGGTTATCGTTCATTTATGGTAATTTTTTATTAGGGAAGTACGTGCAATCGAAGGCTGCTTTCGAAATCCGCAACTGGGTGGCTAACTTTCATAGTTAGGCTACGGGATGATCTGATGACGTATCTGTCAGGTGAGCAAAGTCCGACAAAAAGGGTGATCATGACCCTTTTCGATCCCCTTGGGATGCTAGCAACGTTCAATATCCACGGAAAAATGCGAATTCAAAATTTATGGCGTAGTGGCTGCGACTGGGATCAACCGATTGATGACGAATGCTGCGATAAGTGGAACCGATGGATCAGTTGGCTTCTGGCGATTTAAAATGTGAAGATCCGCACCACTATTTTCGAAGGTTCATTTCACTCGACTTCATCACTCTACAGCTCCATGTCCTCGTTGATGTCAGCAAAGATGCATACGGTGCTGCTGCATATTTCCGTGTATTAACGGATGAAGGTCCATTGTGTTTACTGGTGATGGCGAGATCGAAGGTCGCTCCGTTAAAAATGCTGTCAATATCTCGTCTTGAGCTGCAAGTGGCAGTCATTTAGTCCGATTCCGGAACGGTGATTTCTTGGATTCAGTCGGAGCAACGCATATACAAACCATTTGTCAATTTCCGGATTGGCGAGTTTCTGAGCCGATTCGAAGCATAGTGAGCTGCGGTGGATTTCAACGGAGAGTAAAATAGCGGAAAAAGGGCAGCAGTTTAGATTCGAACGGTCCGTGGTTCCAGGGCCCACGATTCTTGTACCTGTTAGAAAAACACCGTAGAAACGAATACCCCAGAGGAAGCCCGAATATGTAATTTGTTCCATGATATTTCGATAGTTGAGACGGTAATCGATGCCACGCGTTTCTCTCGTTGGAAGATCCTTGTCCGAGCAGTAGCCTTCATCTACCGGCTCAGGTCCAACTGTATCAGGAAACGGGAAGGCTTGGCGATTGAGGTGATTTCAGCACCACCAAGGGTGCAACGGTTGGTGAAAAGGTCTATACCAATTGTGGTGGTTCCACTGAAGCGAGAGGAGTTTCAACGTGCTGAAGCCTACATTTGGCGATGGGCGCAGGCAGAGGCCTACGAATATGAAATAAAGATCCTTATGAAGAACCGTGAACTTCCGTACAGCGAGTGGTATCCGTTGGAGAACCCAAGTAACAATTTTTGTTTTATGAGGGTTCTGTAGACCATGATTTAGACTTGTAGCATGCTTTAAAACCACTATAAAACTGGCAATGTTACTTGGGAAGAACAGAAATTTATACGACGTCAGTCCGTTTTGGTAAAGTGTCCTCCGGATGGAAGGCAGAACCGTTCATTCCTTCCCTTTGAACTACGATTCCCGGTAATCTTGCCTAAGAAGCACCCGATCACGACGAAGTTGCTGGAATATCATCACCAACAAGCGACCCACGCAAATGGGAAACTGTGGAAATTTATTTCGAGAACTGGTCCGAACACTTACAAGTAGTTTTTTAAAATTTATTTTGGATATGATGATCGCTTGAAAATAGCTAAAAAGTCAATAATTTAATGTTTGCCAAAGATGAGAAATGTCTGTTAAAATTGAAATTTCGTGAACTTTGAAGTGTTATAAAAAAAATCTGAGAAATTCAATGAGGATTATGGGACAAAAGTAAAACTTAAGCGCCTGGAACAGTAATTAAATTATGTCCACTTTTGTCCCACTATGCAAGGAAAGGAAGATATCCACACGGTAAGAAAAAAGTACCCAAAATTGAGTTCCTTTCACTCATCACGTGGCTTCCGTGGGGCTAGGTAAAATTAAGTTAAAGAAGAAAACTCAATTTTGAGTAATCCTGGCGTTGACCAAGTTGACAAAAAAAATAATAAAACGGAGCGGACTGGAACCGAACCATGGACGTTGAGATTACGGGACCCGTGTGTTGACCACTCGTCTATCAACGCTTGTGAAAAAGAAATGGTTAAAGGCGCATAAAAACCCAATGAAAATAAACTTATATTTGAATTCATTTATTATTACTCAATAGTTGAGTAAATTTTAACCAACGCCGCTTTTCTGATTCACCCAACGGCGGACCTCAAATGATAGAACCCAACGTTGAGTTTTTTTGAACTTAATTTTGAGTATTTTTTCTTGCCGTGCAGCTTTCCATGCTCGGTAATGGCGGCCTGTTTGTATGAATAAATGTATCCTTCACTGTGCTTTTTGACACTAACTGGAGGGCGTATGTTGTTCCATTTTCTTCTGTTCCTGGGAGATGGAAAGGGAGGGGTCAAAATCCGAACATCCAGATAGTGTCAAAAAGCACAGTGAAGGATACATTTATTCATACAAACAGGCCGTCATTACCGAGCATGGAAAGCTGGATAGTGAAGTTGCGGGAAAAATGAGTAGAAGCAAAAAAAAATCTGTTAGATTATTTTTGAATTTGTCCAAACTTTAAAGGGGCTATTCATACACCACGCGGATAGTTAAGAGTGGAGATAGGGCTCACTGTACTGGACAAAATCTATTGGTGGTGGACTGTTCAACTGAGTTTTTCCTTAACTGGCGGCATTTGGCTTCTAATTGAATGCCTCGTACTAAGATTGCTTCTGACAGCACTCTTCACCAGAGAGCGAGCAGCTTTGTAATGGCTGGTGGAAAACCAAATTGAGAATTTATGACCAAATTAACTTTTTATTAATATATCAATAATTGTACATTTTGATCCATACATCGCTATTACTACAAAGAAAAATGTAGAAATCTTCTCACCGGAGAAAATAATATTTGAAAGGAACTTTCGGAAATCTCCATTCTACAAATTGGTTTAGCCATCACTAGCAGTGCGACAACTGTCGAATTGGATGGGGAAAACCTAAGAGGAAGAGGTGACAATTGGCTTCTTACTCTTTAATTTCTATCTCTATCTCTATCTTTATCTATGTCTATCTCTATCTTACGCACATCAAATCAGCCAATCACGAGCTGGTTCACGTTTGACAGAAAAGTGGTTCATTTTTGACCCCGTATTGTCACCTCTTCTCTTAAGCTGGGTTTAGACAGGGCAAGTCAATTGATCAAGTCAGTTGAATTCAACTGACTTGAATGCGAATTGAACGTGTAAACCATGCCATTCAACTGACTTGATCAACTCACTTGAATTGAAAAAAGTTGAACCAGGCTCAACTTTTCAAGCCAATTGAATTCAACTGAGTTGATCATTTGACTTGCTTAGTCTAAACCCAGCTTTAGGGGAAAACTAATGCAGTAATGACCCGATTTTTTCAGTGCCTCCGCGCATACGACATTTTTCCTTCAATACTTTCAGGCGTAACATTTGAAAACGGCACACAAGCTTTTGTAAAGTATTACAAAACTATAAACAAATTGTCTAATTTTTAACTGGTCTTCCATCAGATCACAAGCACTGATAATTGCTTACCGGGAGGAGCCTTCAATCCGCTAGCCGTGGTCAGCGATTTTTCACATTTTAAGCTGGAACTTGCCTTCCCGGCACTAACCGTTTTCACCACCGACAACAAATCCAGAACAATCAAACCCGCACAAACTGCCACCAGTATCGATCCCATATTGTCACTTTGGCACTCCAGAACCCAATCTAACCGTTGGACTCCCTCGGTGGCCCCATTTTATAGTACACCGGCCCAGCGGGATTGCTCTGAACCTAAATCTACCTATTCCCTCAATCATTCGAAACAGTCGGGAGACAAGAACAATTCTCACACGCATTGATTTACTGCCCCCTTGGTGGGCCCGCTTTTCCGCCATCACCTGTGCTGATTTAGTGCAATTGTGCTAGTAATCAATCACAAAGATGCAGCATTCGTTATATTTTCCATTTTCATGCTACATACAGCAAAAGGTTCTGTCTGATTGGTAGTCGGTACAAGTCATATACTACATCGACTTGAAGTGATGTGATAAGAGATAAAGCAATGACAAGTCGGGTGTGAAAAACGCTTTTTGTTCAGCGAATGCCGCAGAATCGGAGTGTTGAAATTCTCCCGGGTTCTAACGGTTGCAAATAATCGCAGATTGTTTTTCATAAAGCACAAGTGAGCGGCATCATTCCGTGCACATCTCCAGTTTATGGGAGGTACTAAAAGCTTCACTCCATCATAACAGCCAAAGAACAGCCGCAAAACTCACCCGCTCGGGTTCAAGAGATTTCAATGAACTCTCTAATTGAATGTTGAAGCGTGACAGCATTGTTTTGATAGTACTCCGTTAGAACAGTGTGCCACAGGTTTATGCAACGGACAAAACTCAATGTATGAATAGGGTAGGGTGGGGCAAGATGGGTCAGCTAGTACATTTATTAATTTATTCGTTTGTCTAAAACGACAGCTTCATTGCAACCCCAATTGCGACTGTCAAGGTTGACTCTGTTCATATTGACAATCAAAAAATAAATAAATCAACTAGATGACCACCCAAGTAACATTGCAACGTTTATTGAGGTTTTAAAGCATTCTACAAGTCTAAATCATGGCCTATAGAAACATCATAAAACCAAAACTGTTACTTGGGCACCTTACCCTACATTCGATTTAAAGATTCCTGCGAAATTTCATGTGTGATTTAGAGTATTTAGTCTGATAGCTTCAGGATCGTACCGTGGACCGAGCCGTGGACCACCGTTAATATCATCGACACTCCGTGCACATTACCGGGGTTCATTTTTAATCTGAACTTCTAGTAACCCTATGGCCATCAGAAAAGCGAGTTTATTTGCTGTTTTGTTTTGAATCATCATTCCGTTTCGCATCGTTCCATACCGCTTTTCTTCACTCCATCTGCTAAATGACGGGTGAGCAATTTTTAATTTGCACAGCGTGCAGATTAGCAGGGTTCAAACTAAAAAGTGTTCAGATTGAAAACGGTCAAATTACCGGGGGTCCACGGTATCCCCTTTTTCCATAAATCCTTATTGTGAAAACCGCACAAACGCGAAGCTTACTGTACTCGGGTTTACCAGTTCCTCAAACGTCACTAACTCGGATCGCATTCTGGCTATACAACCGCGCCACCGCCACCACCAACCTGACCTGCACTCGAGGGAACTCCACTGAAGTTCCGTATACACTGAACCAAAACATCCACCGATCGTTGAATGAAATCTCATTCAGCGTCAAGCAAAACTAATGATTCCTGAGATTGAATGAAAAACACGTCGAATGATTTTATGATCAACAATAAGTGGTTTTTGTTTACTTTTCAAACGTTTTTCTTCTTCTTGTCGTCCGATAATCAGTCACATATTAATAGGCACAAAAAAATTTGTTTTTATTGTGAACCAAAATGAATATATTTCATCATAGCCCCTTTATGAAAATCATTCTATTTCAGGTTTGTCATCATCTTTCGGCTATTCTCTATCAGTTAGCAAATGGCGGCGAAGACCGTGACTGCGCGAGTTTGTTTTCATTTGTGAAAAAGTGAAATTTAATGTTTGACTAAATACAATAAAATGAACAGTAAATGGCTCAAGTTTGTTCGGGAAAAAGTGATAGTTTGTACCCTCGGTACCTCTATCGTTCTTTTTTTCCGTTGACGAGAAATATTCAATTATTTTAAGATTTAATTAAGATACATTATTTTGGAATAAAGTTACGTCAATAAAAATAATTGTCTAAATGTTTATTTAAATATTCTAGAAAAATATAGTTAGACGACCATTTCATATGAGATAACTCATGTAGTCTTCTTATTTTTACACAGTAATGCTAATAACTGATTGAAATGGTTGTGTAATTATTTTTTTCAAGAATATTTCTGATAAGAAAATACCCCTATTAAGCCAACTACATAGATATGGACATCATTTGAATTCTATCTCATTTTCTTTCATTACAAGACTGATGAGTTGAAAAGTTTTTGTATGCAAATCATTCACACAGTGTTCTGTTTTGATTATTGTATATATGATTATAAAGCTAATTTTAAATTATATTCATACATTTTGCCTTGATTCTGTCAAAAGATGAATTGAATGACGATCTTCTTAAAATCATCTGATAATAAGCATGGGGCTTGGGTGAGGCAAAAATCATTCAGTAAACGGCGGGTGTTTTCGTTCAGTGTAGGTACCCGTCCGTCGTCGTTGTCGTCTGGTTCACGCTCATGTTTCCAGAAGAGACGGAAAAAAAGTGAGAACATAAATCTTTCCATCACCGTCGCCGCAGTCGCTGCCGCTCGTCAACAACGGGCGAGAGCGTTTGTGTTGAAAGGTTTTGCCAACACGTCGTCAAATCCGCCGCTCCTCTGATAGGGTAGAGAACGACTTCGACATAAGCGCCCATTTTCGTTGTATCGAGCAGAAACGTCAAATCTTGAGTGTTTTTCAAAAGGTTCTAACTAACAAATGTAAACAAATGGAGTTAATCGATGCCTGCTATTGCTATTCTATCATTGTATGTGCTACACAAACACCCACTTAAATTAACTTTCATGTATTTAAGCCGAGAGGCCTCCCTTAGCTCAGTCGGTAAAGGCGCAGCTACAAAGCAAGACCATGCTGGAGGTGGCTGGGTTCGATTCCCGGTCCGGTCTAGGAATTTTTCGGGTTGGAAAATTTCTCGACTTCCCTGGGCATAGAGTATGATTGTACTTGCCACTTGCCACAGAAATGGTACAGGCATCGAAAGCTCTGAATTAATTAATAACTATGGAAGTTGAAGTTGAGAGACACGCAATTAGCACAGACAGACATAACACTCGCAATTTGTTCATCGAACAAGCATATTTAACGGTCAATTTAAAAGTATCTATAAGTATAGGACCGCCACCTGTGGTGCGCATGGTTGATTCTCTTGCGTTTGACGTTTACGCACTACAGCCATCTATTCAGCGTACTACGCACCACAGTATGCTCATCAGATGGCGGTAATGTTTTTAGCGACGATGTTTTATAGTGAGAAATATTCAATGTGTTATGTCTGTTTGTCTGTGCAATAAGCCAATATGCGATATGCAATAAGCTTGAAATGCGAATAATAAGAATAAGAAGAAAGAAGGGCGACTTTATCTACCATGCAGGAAAAAATGTGTTTTGCTGTGGGTAGCTGCGTGCACGCTGAGTAGATAGAAAAAAGATATATTGCGATTCTCAAAATTTCCTGCATAAAGATGATGCGCGATGCAAGTAGATGCGAGAAATGAAAGACGATTTTTCGAAGATTGATTCACTAGTATGCGATTTGTTGAGCATCTAGAATTGAAATTTAAGAGTGTATACCCCCCTCCCCCCCCCCTCGATGTGCTGATAAAAATCATGTCTTCTACACTCAACCTGGGTGGCATCAGCTCATGTTAAATTTTGAGACCAAGATCAAGACCGCTTTCTGATTGGCTGAAAATAACACAAGCAAGCCTCGATGAAATTACTGTTTGTAATTGTTTTGGTCGAAGATTGGTATGATACACATAATTGGCATAGCAACAACAGCGGTTACATTCAGTTAATTTCATTTTGTTCAAATCTGCACTATTTTGGTTCGTTTGAAACTCCAAAATGAAGTGCAAGGTGACCGGATGTGGAAGAAACGATAAAGAATCGAGTGAGCGTGAAGCGTGATAGTCCGTATGTAAACGGAGTCTCATTGGTTAGAGAATTTTGATAGGTTAGCAGGTATAAATATGAGGTAGGCCTAAGCTCGTTGAAGCCATCATTCGCTGCCAGACTGTTGAGCAGTTCAGTCGATTTGAATTCTCTCTAGTTTCGTTCGTTCGTTCGCAAGTCGAATTAGCTCCGCGTTGTATAGTGACGCTCTCGCTGACCCAGCCATGGGTAAGAAATCGCGCGGTAACGCGAGTGCCGGCTTATCGGGAAAACAGACTCTCCCAGGAGACGGCGCGACCACCGAGCCAGCTCAGAAGAAGCAGAAGAAAACCCCATTGCCCGTCCCGACAGGCGTTGCGGACCCGCAGCCGGGGCCTCCCGGAACTAAACGACCCAGACCTGAAGACATCAGCGCCACCGCATCGGCAGCAAAAAAGCTGCTGAGCAACAATCCGTTCTCCGCCCTGCAGAACGGAGCCCAGCCGCCTAAAAAAGTTAAGTTGCCACCCTTCTATGTGAAGGGCTTCCCTCCCGGGCTATGGGAGCAGCTGGATTTCTACATTAAGCAGGGCCTTCGCTGCACCATTCAACGGTGCACGGAAGGCTACAAACTGATGGTCTCGGCCGAAAATCACTACAACGCAGTCCAGGCCCTCTTGGACAGGATGAAGCTGGAGTACTTCTCCCACGACGTCGAGGCCACCAAGCCGCTGAAAGTGGTGCTGCGCGGGCTCCACGACATGGACACCACCACCTTAATGGACGAGATTAAGGCGAACGGCCTCAAGCCGGTCGAAATCCACAAGATGACCCGCAGCAAGGCCATCAAGTATCGTGACCAGCTCTACTTGGTCCATCTGCAGAAGAACTCCACAACCGTGAAGGATCTCCATACGACACGCACACTGTTCCACATCGTAGTGAAGTGGGAGCGGTATAAGCCAACCCACCGTGGCGTCACTCAGTGCTCGAACTGCCTATTGTTCGCGCACGGCACCAGGAACTGCC